GACTCAATGTGCAAGGCTCCTGCATCCTTTGCTTGTGGGGAAACTGGGGCAGAGGCATGAGACCTTCTCTGCTGTCACTATGCAGACCTTTGACAGAAATAAATGCTCTGATCCTTAGTCTGTTCCTCTTTTCATTTAGGCCATTCATAATTTTCACTGTTCTATTTTCCATGATGGACATAATTCCAGATTTTATCATCACAGGTAGCCTGTTCTTCAGGACTAGGCCACTGAGAAACTCTGCTCTTTGCTCTTCATCATCAGTGAAGTCCTGGTACTATTGTTGAATATTATAATGACACAGGGGAACTGCCTGACTATTTACTCGGATTAATCTCCTGATTTTTCAGCCAACTAATTGCTTTCTATCCTGTTTTCTCTTCTGGATTCTATGCTGACTTTTTGCTGATTGCTCCCATCACCTTCATTTCCTTCACATATTGCATGTGAAATTAAGGTTATCTAGCAGCAGCCCTGTACTTGCCAAACTGTGCAAATTTTTTTCTTTCTTGAAATACTCAGTTTCCTTGTGGTTAAATCCAACCAACCCCTTCTGCCTTTCTCCCCCTCGTCAAACATTGAATTGCAGAGATTTTTAGGATGGCCATCCCAATGGAAGCTCTAATAGACATATTTCCCTGGGAAAAACATTTGGAGTTACATCACCCAAATCTTCATCACACAAAGAATCTGTGTCCACCAGTTCCTTAGTTGTCAGACACTTGATCTCAAGGTGAGCCAATATCAGAGTTTCTGTTTTCTCCAGAGGGGTTTAAACCCAAAATACTTTGTAGGGTGTCCTAAAGTTCAGGCTGTCTCAGTAAAGTCTCTGCCCAGCAAAGAACTTCCAGAAAACTGTCATGACAGGAGCACCAAACTTCTAGAAATTATTCCATCTTTGTCTGACAGCAGAAGACAAGAACAATATCTCAACTTCAGATGGATGATGTATGTCACTAGCAATCCCTGAACACAGGACTGCTGTACTTAGCATTTTATTGTAGTCCTGTAAAGCAGATGTTATTGTATTTTAGCATTCAGTGCATTTTTTTTTTCCTCAGCTGCTGTTATCAGAAAAAGTCCAAGTGCCAGTTTGTGCTTTTTAGTGTTCATCACAGCGATACACAGATTTGGTCTAGCTAATGCTGAGAAGAACCCTGTGGGATGGCACTCTTCACATTGCCACGAGATAGGTAAAATCTCCAGCCCAACCATACAGAGAGAATATATGTCAGATCAAATTAGAATGTGATCTTTCTGCCATGTCAACTGCACATGCAAGCTTCAGAATCCAGGGATGGGGCTTTTGGAGCATACTCCCACTGCATGCCCTGCCTTGTAGCTGGTGGCTGCATAGGCACCTGTGGAGACTCTGATACTCTGTGGCTTTCGCAAGGAAGATAAAAGAAAGGCTAATTGTGTTCTCCTGTATGCTGTGCACTAGTAAATGGCTTGAGGCAGTCTGACCCTAAATATTGATGATTCAAGTTAAAATTGTCTCCAGATGACAAGAAGGATTCATTTTTCCCTATTATCCCCAATACACAAATCTTTTTTCAAAACTAGATTATCTCCTAAAATCAAAAGCTCTAATTAATTCTACCATTTTATCTGCAACAGGCACTGTTAACATCTCATATCATGCTCCAATAAATTTGCCCACAGAGATTAACAACATCTGAGGGGGGAATGAAAAGGGAAGAAGAAAAGGAGGGAAAGAAAGCTTTTTCAATTGAAGACCAGGAACTATTCTTCTAATTAGCCCAGGTACAGAATGGCATTAGCATCGCCATACTGCTTC